GTTGGATGGCAAAACACGTCCGGACCACGTGGGCCGGACGGTTGCGGGCAGTTTGAGGGTCGGCATTGGAGATGCCCTAGTTTATTTCGCAACAAAGAAATCGACATCATATCCCAATCGTGCAATACATTAAATAAAGCAATATCACAATTAATAGTGAAGGTATGGATTAATCGACTCACCTTTGAATGTCGAAGAATTGACATCTCCAGAAGCTGCATAATGTAACTTTCACCGAGTTGCCAATTAGAGAATATACTAGATGGCTCCATGAATCCAAGAGCAATCCATTGATGGATTAGCTTATATTTATTCATCTTGCGACCCTTTGGAAGGATTGCACAATAAGCAAAGAATAACTTTAAGTATGGAGGCATGAGGTTGTAGCTTAACAGCAAGGATCCAAGCACTTCATGTCCAGATGATGCATCTGTAGAAGTAGATAGATTCCAGATATGATTGGTTCTGACCGAATTCCATTCTCCATAAGACTTGGACTTCAAAATGTGTCCAAGTGATTGAGCAGCTAAAGCTACACCTTTGCACTTCTTTGCAATATCCTTTCCAATTGGCTCCAGCCATTCTTTGTCATCTCTTGTTTCAAATTTACTTTTTTGCCTCATTATTTCCCAGCACATCTCATCTGACAATTGAGGTAAGTTGTAAGGCTGAACAGTGGAGATCTCATTTGCAATGCCTTCATCACGTGTGGTAACTACAACCATCACCTTGCACCCCTTACCCTGCTTCAGCATAGACTTTAATTCTTCTAGTTGAGAAGGACGCTTCTCCCACAGGTCATCCAAAATGATCAGAGCATTCTTCTTCTCAGCAAGTAGCTCTTGCAGGCGAATGTTAATACTGTGCAGATCAAGTATCTGCTGGCTCTGTTGTCTTGATAGTTGTGATATTATAGTGTTGCCAATTTTTTTCAAGTCAAATATCTGGGAAACATAGATCCATACCCGAGAGTGTTTCTCAAACTCAGGATGATTGTAAACCGATCTTGCCAAGGTGGACTTTCCAATGCCTCCAAAGCCCCATATGGGAACAAAGGTGGTATGTTCACTGGCGCTCCCAGACAATCGAGCCAAGATTTCCAGTTTTTCCTCGGCCCTCCCGATGATTTCTGCTTCCACCATAGTCCCTGCATTTTCCCGGATATCAGGAAGTTGCTGCTCATTGGTGCAAGTTTCTGGCGTTAGACGATAGTTCTGATGGTCTTCTGTTATCTTCTGTAGACACTTTTGCATCTTTTTCATCTTGTCTGGCATACTGATCCTCTTCCTCATAGCTCCGAACTGCAAGAGGAATGACTTGATTCTTCAGTACAATTGAAGAAATGAAAAGGACATACACGCGGTGGCAATCTTGCGAGATGCTTTTGCAATTTAAATCAAGAAAAGCGCACATGGCACTGGTCTGGACTTCCATCACATACTAACAAGTATGGTCCTATCCGTATAGCAGAACAGGATATCTAAATATGTTTAGATTCATTTAGATAGTTTACTTCACTATATGGATTCAGATTTTCAGGATGATGGTTTTTTTACATAATTTATAGAAATAGATATATGCAGATTCACCAGTCATATCCTAGGAAAAAAAGAAGCAACAACGTTCGGATCCAGATTGATGGCAACCAAATGAACATACCAGGGACTGGGTGTCAGATTGGAAGTCGTCGAGCATGTCGGAGATGTCATACATGGCGGCCTTGAGCCGGTTCACCCACAGCAGCGCCGAGCTGTCGGTGATGGACCGCCTCTCGGCGTCGCTGAGCGCGGCCTCCACCGACTCCAGCGTCATCTGCATCTTCTGCAGGTCTCTCTTCAGGTTCTTGTGCAGCTTGATCTTGCCGCCGATGGCGGAGCCGATCTGTTTTATCACCACCTTGATGACACCCGAGGCAACCATGCCCCCGACGACGGCTGCCGCTGCCGCCATTGCTGTCCTTCCCCGGGCGGATCTTACGGGGATACAGATAACACTGACACAGAGGATATCGCAGAGGAAAGAGTCAGTGAGACAGAGGTCCCCGGAGAGAATCCAAGAGGGGAAGAAAGAGACTGACCTGTATCAAGTACCAACACCGTCTGCAAGGGACCCCGTTGCCGCCGGTGACCGGTAAGCAAGGAGGACACGACGCTTGCCGGGAAGAAGAGATAGGCACAATGGAGAAGGGGGGCAGATTCTTCTTTTTGTTCTCTGAATCGAGTGGTTGCAGACTCGCGGCCCAATAAGTGCCGACGGCGACGTAGACGGCGACGAGGTGTGGAGTGGATGTGGCCGAGTGTGAGCGCCAGCGGGGAAGAAAGATTCGCCGGAGTTGTCTCTTTCTTTGACCGGGGAGCACCCAAGTGCCTCTCTTCCCCGCGTGAACGCGGATCTGCGCCCGGGTTGGGGATTCAGTCCCGTGGTATAGTAGATTTGGAGACGGAGACGGAGGAAGCATCCTCGCCGGGAGTAGGGGCGCTGGCCGATGTGCTGCAGCGGCGACGGAGATCAGGGCCCCGTTGGGGACCAGGCTGATACTGTCACCTCTGCAGCGGAGGCAGAACCAAAGTCAAGGTTTTTTTACGAGGGAGGCGATAAGTCAAGGCGCTGCAGCGTGGGAGTACTCGACGGCCCAGGAGAAGGAACAAGAGGTAGTGAGGCCCAGGAGAACTACTCGTAAAGGGGGCCAAACAGGAGTAGGGCGTTTTGGTGCCCAGACTCATCTGCACCTGGTTAGAAAAAAATTGTAAAAAATTCAAAACAAATTCTAAAAATTCTAAATCTTTTTTTCGGTAGAAAATTTGATGCGTGAGGCCTGCTCCGAATTTCAAGTCATTTGGACATTTGAGCATCTCTCAGTAAAAAAGACAAATCGGACTAAAACAGTACATGAACAGTAAACATTTTTACATACTCCCAATTTGTCTTTTTTGTTGAGAGTTCCTCTGATGTACAAATGATTTAAAAATTGGAGCGGACCTCACGCATCAAATTTTCTACAACACAAAAAAATTGGAATTTTTTGAATTTTCCTAGTATTTGTTTTGAATTTTTTCGTCAGCGAGGGTGCAGATGAGCTCGGGTGCATAAATGGATTTTTGGCCAAACAGCAAGTATCCATCAACACGCTAAAAGAAAGTGGGATATTCTCTTTTTTGAGAAGGGAATTGGGTTAATAAAAAAAGTGACTGATACATCACCGACATAAACCACACGAGCCGGTAATTTTGCCACCCAAATGATGTGAGTCGACACCCTAAAACTCCAGAGCCACCGCGGTGCCATGACCAAACCGGTCGAGTAATTATCCAAGGCAACGGTTGGGGATGAACACTCCTCATCTTGTACTTTCAATCTCACCTTCTGCTTTCTTCCACATCTCACCCACTCCCTCTTCTTGTATGATTGTATCCCAAGTTGTACTCAGGTTGTGAATCTTTATTCCAAAACTATTAGTTGAAGGAGAAAACTATCATGTGTGTGCTTGATTTTTTTTTGTTGGGTATGTATGTGCTTGATTAGAGTGATCTATGTGTGTGTGCGCGCGCACTTGATTTAGGCTCGTAATAGTGTAAGTCAATATAAGAGGCATTTCGATCCGAGGCTATTATGTTTTGCTTGCAATTCCCTTGATTTACTGGTGTAACTTTGGCGAAGGGTGTGAAATTCCTCGTGAATTTAGCACAAAGCACTCTGCTAACTGAGTGCAGCGGATTCATAAAAGGCTAATCTACGACTGAATTCTTGAGGATGCCAGAGGAGGAGATGACCCTAAAGCAGATGTTCTCGCTTATGTTAGTGGTGGAGAAAAAGTGTGACTAAGAAGCGGTGGCCTCAAACAACAAATTTGACTCGATCCAGGCCTTGCAATGGGCACATGAAAGCTGAAGGTGGACAAATTTTTCGCGGATTTGATGACCGTTGTCATCGACTCGCAATGCCCAACCATTAGTATCTTCGGCCTCGCCAATGCTTCTCCACCATTGATGTCAGAACCCGGCAACTTTGGAGGAAACCACATCAGGCATTGATTAAAAAAATTAACTTGTGTTAAATAGGGAGGTTTCAGCTCAGGACTACATAGAGAGTTTTAGCTTGTTCATGCAGCAATTGCTAGCTCGTAATCCTACCATTGATCTACACAATTTTACCACAAAATTTATCGATTGGTTGAGGGACGAAATTTGATATGTTATATTTGTAGAACACCCAAAAGCACTCGATTAAGCAAACCACGCGGTGGGGCCGCGAAAGGCAAACCTAGCACAGTAAGTTTTTCCCTCTCACTGGCACAGTAAAAACGATGAGGTGGAACACGCGAGGGTGCGCCCTTTGCGCGACCATTAATGGGTTTAATTGCATGAAGAAGTGTTTGAGAGAATGAGGCACAATAAGAATAGAAGAACAGATCATTCAAATTGGACAAGGCATTTTTCTAAAACATCTATCGCAACGTTCACCCCATGTTGTTTAGTGAAATGCGCAGATTCCGACAAATGAAGATAGAATAACAATGGAGGTGATGCAAGCTCGCACTCCTAGTTGTATGATCAGTGCCCTGCGGAATTGTTGGAAGGTAAGGGGTCTGTGTGTTTACATGTGGAGACAAAAAGGGGGCCACAACGCAAGTGTGGACAAACCCTGCAACTCCATGCCGTGAAATAATTGTTGCAGATGTTGCAAACTAATGTACTGGAATAAGTGAACTCATCTTTTGATTTTTTTAGAATAGAAGTAACCTCATCTAAAGAAGGGGAATTGTTGATAATCTCTGATCAAGCGTTGATGGGCCTTGATGGAAATTAATCTTCTCGGTTGCAAGGCAAGATAAAAAGGTATGATTTGATCATTCTGCTCGACTCGAGTAGTAACTCTAGTTTTGTAAGTGAAGACCTAGCTCACTTTTTCCGGCGTGTCGAGGTCGTCGACTTGCACATGCACGGTGTGTCAAGAAGTTGGAAATTGACAACACCTTAACCCTTTTTCTTTTTCGGGACACCACACGCTAGCCTAGCCACACTGTATCTTCTTCACTTACCGCGAATCCACGAGACCACAACCCTCGTTTTATTTTACCTTCTATTTCTACTTGATTTTAGTTTCCTTATACAAAAATGGTTTCTTTTTTTAACTTATTTTTATTTGATTTTTTACAAAGTACTTATTACAAATACAATATAGTTTCTAAATATACGATGAACATTTTTCTTCACATGTTGTGGACAATTAAAAAGTAATTTGGTTTTTAATTTGTATCAAATTTCATACCCGAATATACTTTTTATCTACACTAACCTTTTAAGGTACATGTTGACCATTTGCACACATGCTTAGTTCCCTCATTTCTGCAACATATTTATAAATCATTTTAGAAAAAATGTAATCAAAATACATTTTACCATTTTAAGATAATCATAATACATTTTTCCCGAAAAATGTAAACAAAATCATGGACTAAAGGGCATGTCCCACGGGCCAAACAAATGAGGCCCAACACCTTCAGGAGCTTCCCATTTTCCTCCGGAACGCCTATGTCTTGCTTCGCGAGAGCTATGTCTCGCATTGAGTGAGACGTAGTGATCCCTCACTGAAGGGTCTGGAGTAGTCGGGCCAGCCCACTAGTGTGTGTAAAAATGCTAGCACGTGCACCCGCAAAAAAAAAATGCTAGCACGTGGGGGATCGAACCTGGGCCCTCCTGAACGCTTCGTCGCACTGATAGCCAGTGAGACAACATCGAGATTGTGCCATAAAAAAAACTTCGGCACAAACTATTAGAAGGAAAAGAGCTAGTTTTACACTGATTTTCTTTTTTTCTCCATTTTATTTTTTATTTTTTATTTTTTTGCTGCTTTTCTTTCTCTTTCTCATTTTATTTTTCTTTTTTGACTTCTTTCCTCGGTTTCAATGTTATTATTGTTTTCTTTTCTTGTTTATTCTCCATTTGTTCTTTTTTAATTCTTTCTGCATTTGTTTCTTTGGTTTTATTTTTCATTTTCATTTTTTCTTCGGTTTATTTTGCTCTTTTTATGTTTACATTCGTTTCTCTTATTTGTTTCCTTTGTTTTTCATTCTATGTTTTTTGTACATGCCAACAACATTTTTCTCATAACGCTTAGCATTTTTCCAATACAAATTTCACTTTTTTAATACATGGTTAAAAAGATTCTATGCACATTTTAAACATTTTTCAAATGATTCATTATATTTTTCTAATACAACATTAACATTTTTGGAATATATGGCCAATATGTTTACTAAAAAAAGTTTTAAACTTTTTCAAATGCTTGATTAAGATTTTTCAAACACAAGATTAACATTTTTTTCTAAATCATGGTCAACATTTTTTATATGCACATTTAACCTTTTTTCAAATGCTTGACTTCTGTTTTCTAAATGGAAGGTATTTCTTTTAGCACATGGTCAACATTTTTTTGCTACACACATTAAGCATTATCCAAATGCTTGATTAACATTTTCTATGTACATTATATGAAAAATCAACATTTTTTTATACATGGTCAACTTTATTTCTAGTCACATTTAACATTTTTCAAATGCTTGATCAACATTTTTCTTATTCAACATTTTTTTAAATGCTTGATTACATTTTTAGATACATGACAACAAATTCCTTATTTTTTAATACATGATCAACATGTTTTTCCTATACCCGTTTAACAAATTTCAAATATTTGATAAACATTTTTTAAATACTTGTTCAATTTTTTGAAATTCTTTAATAATATTTCTAAAGGACATGATCAAAAAACATATACACATTTTTTACATACCTGATAAAATTTTTCCCTATACACAGTAAACATTTTTAAATGCTTGTCAACATTTTTCAAATAATTTTTATAGAGTTTTATACTTAAAGTATAAACAAAATAAAAAAAGTGAAATGCGAAACAGAAAACGTAAAAAAGTAGACAGAAAAAAGGAGCAT